ATTTAGGTCTCCTATTCATCAATGGTCATAGTTCATCAATGAGTAGAAGGATCAAACTCAGAAATTAAACATGCCATGAATTATAACATCTGAAAAAAGAAAAAAGTACTCGTAGTGGAAAGTACAAATCAAATAAGTTTAAGTAACAATATTATTTTTAGTTGGGAGAAGGGAGTCCAGGCAGATTTATGACATTTCATGCAGGTAGGACTTAGCATTAGTAAATGTAAGGGCAGATGCATGAGCCACTGGATTTTATGAGAGATTGAGAGGTACTACGTACCCTAACATACACCACTTAAGCCCTGTTCACATCACTTTGTTTTTACTGAACCGAAACTATTTTTACTGAATTGAAATTATTTTTACTTAATATAATTTTTTAAGGTGAAGTAAATAGGGTCTTATATATATTGTATGAAATGTTGAAAGTCGGATATTATACTTGATATGATTAAGTATACTTTATTGAACTAATTATCACGTTAATGGTATAAGTTAAGGACTTTAATCTAATTTTCTCAAAAAAAAAAGGACTTTAATCTAATGATATGTGATAAAAATGAACTGGGAGATCTAAATTGAGGTAATAAATTTTAGGGTATTTTCATTTTTACCACCTTCAAATAATGACTTTGTCGAATTTACCACCTCAAAAAAAAAACATTTACTTTACCACCTCATAAAAAAATTAAACATCAGTTTTACCACCTCATTTGAGCTCAGGTGACGGAAAACGCTTGTGGGGCCCAGTTAACTGTCACTTCCCTCCAATTTAATTCTTTTAAAATCGATTTCCCTCTGTCTCCTCCTTTTCTCACCTTCCACCTTCCATAATCAATGTCTCACCAAATTTCTCACTTCCTCATCAATTTTCGTCTCTCTTTCCTTTGATTTTTCTTGATTCTCACTGTAACTGCTTCTCTCTCCTTTGAATTTTCTCTTTCTCTCTGTAAAAACTGAAACCCTAGATCAATTTGGGTGGTTGAAATCGAGCTGGAACCACAAAATTGCAACACATCAGCTTCTCTTGTCATCTTCCACAGGGTGAGGGGACCAAAAGCTTGGTAATTTGCTGACAGAAATCGAGATTCCTGACTACAAGAGGTACTTTAAACCCTTTATTAGTACATTTCGTTGGATTTATGGTTGTCAATTGGGGTAAAGTATGCCTTTTTGGGGAATCTGTGAATTAAAGTATTATAAACCCTAATTATGCGAATCTTTGACTGAATTAGAGTGTGCATTTGTTAAATAATTAGTTAATTAGATTTACTTGGTTACTGTTAATTTAGTGCATAGTCAATGTGAATTGCTTTTACTTGCTGTAATTGGTGAATTGGTTTTTGTTGTTTACTGTAATTACTGAAATTGGTTATTGTTGTGTGTGCTTTTGTTGGTGTTGTTACAGAATGGACACAGTGGACTTAAAAATTACAGTAGGGGGTGCCTTTATACCTTCTTTAGCTGGTAAAAATAGGAGGGTGTTAACTTGGGATGGTGGGTGGGTTTATTGGATGAGAAAGGTGGAAAAAAATAAGATAGATGTACACTTTTTGAGGCAAGCAGCTATACATGGGTTTGTGTATGTGAATGTGAAGGTTCCTAGGGGGTTTAGTTGCTGGTATAAACAAAAGGGCAAGTCTTGGGTGAATGGTAAAAGGGAGCTTGTTGATGGTGAGGTGAATGGTTTCCTAGAGTCGGTGAACAAAGAGGGGGCATGTGAGATGTATGTTACCAGTCATGAGCCAATTGAAGGGACTAACAAAACACCCTTCAAATGTATATCTGGGAATGAGCTAACCCCTGCACAAAGGAAGGAACTGAAAAAGAGGTTTGGTGGGCCTAAAGTATACAAACCCAGCCCAGAACTTAGTAAGCCCACTGAAGAAGAGCCATTTAGGAGAATCCCTAGGTTAAAAGGCATTGTTATACATGACAGAGAGGCTGAGGAGAGGCTTCCTAGGGCAGAGAAAGTGAATGCTAATACACATAAAGGGAAGGGTAAACTCACTGCTGCAGATAAGGGTAAGGCTAAGGTTGGGGATGAGACTGGAAATTTTGCTAATTTAGTGAGAAAAATAAAAGAAAGAGTGAGGAGCTTAAGGGATGACAGTGATGTGTTTAGTGATGAGGATGGTGATACAGAGTCTTCTGATTCTGAGTTGAGTGATTTTGAGTTAGAAGTTGATGAGGGAGAGGAGGACTTATACTCTGATGATGATGAACAGTGGTTGAAGAAAAATGTAGACCATATTAACAGTGAGGTGAAAGGCAGTTTGAGGGGAGTTACTGAAGGAGGGGATCAAAGTGATGATGAGGACACAGGGTTTGACATAGAAAGAAATCTACAGAACATTGAAGTGAGGGTTGAAGAGGAGGAAACTTGTGATTCTGATGAGCTAAAGAGTGTGGAAGGTGATTCAGATGATGATCAGGGTAGTGTTACTTGGTTTAACCCTGAGACAGACTTTGAAAGGGCTATCAAATTTGTAGTTGGTCAAAGGTTCAGTGATGTGCAAACAATGAGAAAAGCTTTGAGACAACATGCAATTGAAAATAGGTATGAGTATTACCTTCTTCACAATGATTCAAAGAGGCTAACAACATATTGCAAAAGGAAATGCAAGTGTGTGTATAACAAGAACAGTTTTAGGATAGTGAAGTGTACATGTAGTAAGGGTGTTAGGTGTAGGTTCAAGTTTTATGCAACAAGGCTTGTGAAATCAGAGGCTTGGCAAATTAAGACACTAAGGCTGAAGCATAGGTGTGTTAGGAGTAAAATGAACAACAAGGTGACAGTAGAGTTCCTTGCTGACAGGTACTTGGAGGAGTTCAGGGGCAACCCCAGATGGAAGATTAAACAGATTCAGGACAGGGCCTTGAATGACTTGGGGATCAAAATTACATACTCCAAGGCTTGGTTGGCTAGAAGCAGGGCAAAGCTTATAATATATGGCTCTTCATCAGAGCAATACTCAAAGGTTTGGGACTATGGGAAGGCACTGCTAAAATGGAACCCAGGGAGTGAGTGTAATGTGGTGGTGGATGATATTAATCAAATTGAAAGACCAATTTTTATGAGGATGTTTGTGTGCTTAGCTGCACTTAGGGATGGATTCATTTCTGGTTGCAGACCAGTAATTGGGGTGGATGGGTGCCATCTAAAAGGGGCATACCCTGGGCAGATCTTGGTTGCAGTTGGAAAAGATGGCAATAATTCCATCTTCCCAATTGCTTGGGCAACTGCAGAGATTGAGAACAAGGACAACTGGTGCTGGTTTCTGGAGAGCTTGCTCAAGGCACTTTGTGTGTATGACCAAGGAGATGGCTTGACTTTTATGTCTGACAGACAGAAAGTAAGTGGGTTGTGTTTGTGTTTAAATTACTTTGCTTTATTTGAATTTTCTGTACACTAACTTGTTAGTTTTGCCTTGTGTGTAGGGTCTCATAGAAGCATTTGCAGATGTGGCCCCCAAAGCTGAGCTCAGATTTTGTGTGAGGCATATTTGGTCAAATTTCAAACTGAAATTTCATGGTGCAACTTTCAAGGAATTGTTCTGGGCTGCTGCTAGGGAAGCACTCTGGTAAGCTTCTATTTAGGTTCTTTTATGTCAGTTTTATGGTGAACTATAATGTATGCTAGGAACATTTAGTTTTGCACATATTTACATGTCTTTCTATTTTGTGAAAAATGTATGCCATGTGTCTATGTTGTGTTGAATGGTTGTCATGTGTGTGGTTGTATCAGTTTGAGTTTGAAGTTGCTATGGAAAGTATCAATTTTTTGGATGAAGAAGCATACCAGTGGTTGTCAAACATTGACCCCAGCACTGGTCAAGGCATGCTTTCTCTACAAACTGCAAGTCTAACATGTTGTTAAACAACATGTGTGAGAAATTTAATGCAGTGATTAGAGATGCCAGAGACAAGCCTATTCTAACTCAAATGGAATGGCTTAGAAGATATATGATGAAGAGGAGTAATGACAAATGGGAGGCAGCAAAGTCTTGGGAAGGTTTACTAACCCCATTTGTCAACAAAGTCTTTGATGGGTTGGAGAAGTATGCCATGACATGTGAGGTTACAGCTTCAAGGGATGAAATTTATGAGGTGAAATACAAGGATGATCAGTGCATTGTGGATCTGCAAGAGAGAAAATGCACTTGTTATAGATGGGAGTTGACAGGAATACCTTGTGTCCATGCATTTGCTTGCATAATGGACAAAAGGGATGATCCTGAGTTGTATGTGCACCCACATTACTATAGGGTGACATACTTGGCTGCATATGAGAACCCAATACAGCCAATGCCTGGCCCTAAGAATTGGGAAAAGGTCAAGCTCAGACAGCCTTTGCCACCTATGCTGAAAGTGCAGCCAGGAAGACCTAAGGCAAATAAGAGAAAGCTTGAACCAGGGGAGGGCACTTCTGCAGCACCTGAGGGCAAGAAGCCAAAGGTGATGAAACAATGCAAGAACTGTGGTGGGTTTGGCCACTTTGCCAAAACATGCAAGGCTGAAGCAGCACCAGAACAGCCTAACCCACCTGCAACAAATCCAAAGGGTGGGAGGCCACAGATGCAGACTCCTTGGCTTAAGGAACAGAGAAAGAAAAGTGAAGAGAAAGCAGCAAGACAGGTATTTTGTGTATTTTGTGACTTGAGTGTATTTAGTGGCTTTGTTTCTGAGTCTTGTCATACTGTGATTGCAGGCTGCACTGAAGTTGCCACAATATCAGCCTCCAACAACATCACAGGCTGGGTCAAGTAATGCTGCACCTGCAACTGCTGTGTCAAGCCAGCCTGCAACAAGAACAGAGCCTTTGCCAACTCAGCCTGTTACCAGGAGCAACAGGAGCCTGAGTCAGCCCACAAGAGTGCCAACAACTACTCCTCCCAAAGTCAAAATACAGACCAGGTCCAAGCTTCATGTAATGACAAGCAAGAAGGACAAGGATCTCAATCAACTGTGACCCTAGGTCTACTCATTAGTATTTTGTAATAGACAACCAAGTTTATTTGGTAGTTGAACAATGATAGTTGAACAATGATTTTGCACAAAGGTGCCTTAACTTTTGTCTCAGCCAATGTAAAACAATTTCAAACATTGTGTTGCAAGTACTAATACGAATTGTGATATGTTTCTACCAAAAAGTTCCATTTCTCATTGATTTTGTTAAAAGTAGTACAAGAAATGTCATCCCAACATCCACACATAATAATTCAACAAAACACAACATAAGTTGGGGATTTTTTTTGTTTCTAAGCATTCCTAAATGAACCTAAGATCTAAAATACATAGCCAGTACCAAACCAAAACAACAAAACACAACAATAGCATGTACTGTGAGCATTTTCTTTGTTGTTGCATTACTGCCATGCACTTCCTTGATCATCTTCTTCCTGTCTGAGCTAAGAGCTTTGCATTTCATCTTCAAGCTGTCAATCTCATTGAGCAAGCACCTCCTTTGTCCACTAACATCATCAACTTCCCTCTTCATGTCATTCAGCTCTCCCTTCATTAGTTTCTTGTCCAGCAGCAAGTTGTTAATCACCTCTGTTTGCCAAGGTGTTCCATCTGGTTGATCCACCCACTCAAAAGCTTTACACCCCCTTGACTCAGTCACAGGATCATAGAATTTGCAGGTCCTAAACTTGCGTCCTGGGTTCTCCCTAGTCCAAGCAGTCAGCCTAGACATTGGAACTCCACATTGGCATTTTTTCTCCTTTGAGGGTGACATACTAACTGAAGACATTCCCTTCTGAAATTCAGTAAGAACAAGAATGAAATTAATTGTATTTGAACACAATCACCATAATATAACCCTAATTTCAGTAGCCAATTCACATAACAAAAACCCCCAATCTAATTTAATCTTACATGAACCCTAAGTATTTTAATTCAAATTGGGGTTTAATTGACCTCACAAAACGCCCAATTTCAATTACTCTTAGCAAATGCAACATAATCACGCAACGAATTGCCAAAAAATTACAACAGAAATCACGAAAATTGCTAGAGAATTAACGACAATGGCTTACCTATTTGATGCTTGTTGTCGAGGAGTTCAATTGATTGTTTGATAATTAGAGGGTTTGGGATTGTTAAGGTTGCCCAAAAATACTGATTTGTGAAGAAAATCGCAAAAATTAATCTCCAATCTACAAGAATTTGGTGTACAAATGAAGAACTAGGTTTAAATAAAAGGGAAATCGAGAGAAATTTGGGAAAAAATCAAAAACTAGCCGTTATGCTGGGCCCCACAAGCGTTTTCCGTCACCTGAGCTCAGATGAGGTGGTAAAACTGATGTTTAATTTTTTTATGAGGTGGTAAAGTAAATGTTTTTTTTTTGGAGGTGGTAAATTCGACAAAGTCATTATTTGAAGGTGGTAAAAATGAAAAAACCCTAAATTTTATTTCATTCAATCAAATGATCGAACAAGCTCACTCTTATAGAATAGTATTATTGTTACTCCATATCTTTTTTTACATATTGAGTACGTACTTTCTATGTCTACCAAACAATCACAGAAAATATCAAGAAAGCGATATTAATATCCGATCCACTTGCTTGTTTGGATCACGTGCAGAAATTCTAGTTAGTGAATTCCTGTCAAACACTTAACAGCATTGATGATCTGGGTCATCAAACAACTTTCATGCATTATATAAGCAGTTAGCTGTATATACAATACTTTTATAGTCGTCATGTCTAACATATAAATATCTACAAACAAAAGTTTTTTCTTTTCCGTTTTTCTCTTTTACTTCACTAATTCACTTGCATGCTTTAATTTATTTAACAGCTTATCTATGGTACAGTTCTCGTAATAATGTACGATTTTTTTTTTTTTTCTATATATAATATTACATCAATCTAGTGTAAAAGTCATTGAGATGGAAATTAAAATGCAAAATGAAATAAATATAGGAGGAAAAATACAAAAAATAATGTCTATTTTTCCCTTTCATTTAAGATTGAATATATAAAGGGTAAGAAAGAAGGGAGAAAAATCAAAATAACTTTAATTTGGAAAGTAACAACTGAAGCCAAAGTTATTTATTAAGCCAAATAAATTAATTAATAAAAGTAAATAAACACTTAATTGAAAATATCTACACACTATCCTATAAAATTAAACTAAAATACTAGAGTACACAAGTAAAATAAAGAGCTATCTCTATCATTTTGTCATTGCTTAAGAATCTGTCAAGCACAATAATAAACCATGTTCAAATTGACTAATCAAAATCAATTAGCTAATAATGATGTTTGATTTCTACCTAAGCTAATTATTAGAGGAGATCAAATGATGTTTGTCAACCCTCAAGTAACACTTAAGGACACTTGAGAAAATGTGTACTACTCCAGGCCAGCAAACAGTCATTTGACAATATTTCAAATGATGAGTGACACATTAGTTGATCGTGAAGGTTGAAATATGATCGATAATGTACAAGTTGACACATTATTGTAGATGTTGTGTTTATATATATGTCCTACGTAAATCTGCACTCTTTCTTTGTAAAATTGTAAACTATATATATATACCATAAATCTATATCATTCCAATTCATGTAGGAAGCTAATCTAAGGTGTATCACTTAGGAACTAGGAGAACTTTCAGTCGTTCCAAAGGCTTAGGCTCGATGCCACTCCAGCCTTCCTCGGTTGCTCTAAGATAAACTGTGGAGTATGCATGCTATCTAACATATACATTACATTTTTACAACAAAATCGTTTCATCTCCAATTAATTGTATATAAACTTATTAATAGGTTACTATCAAAAGGCCATAACATGCCAGCAAGTAACAACAATAATCCTTGAAGGAAGACTACGCTATATTATATCCTCTTATTATTTCCACGTCCACCACCAATTGATTTTGAGATAAAACCTCAATAATATGGATCATACATGTAACATCATATCATTAGTCTCTTTCCAACACGTTGAATTTCTTGGAGCCTACGAGTAATTTCTCCATCCATTTGAGTTTTACACTTGTTATGGTGGACTGTTTGGGGTCGTCACACTCAAAACTCCTAGAACTTTTCAACGTAGTTAAGGAAAGCTAGCCATTGATTTTTCGATTATTGATACTTTATATAGTATCAACATCAAAAATTATTGTAACTCTGGACCTTGTTGACAATGACATAGTATGCTCTCTTTAACGGTATGTAGCTAATTATGGTGTGTCATCCTATATCTCAAGCCACTATTTTTGTGTTGAGAAAGAGACATACAACAACAGATGACATGTTTGTGGATGTGGAATTTTCTTAGAGTACAGGAAACTAAGATTTCATGCAAGAAAAAGATCAGATCTTTAGCATATGGTAATTAATAAGTATCCCTCCATAGGTCAAGGTCTATCTAGCTATCTCATTTACGTACAAATTAGATGAATTTTCAAAAATCCGTGAATATTTATGGTTCTTAATAACTTAAGGTTTAAAAGTGTAAAAGAAGATTAAGATATAAACAATCTTCTTTCACAATATTATGAAATACATATTAGTACTAAAAATCTCTATATAAAAAGAGTACGAGAATAGCCTATAAATAAGCAGGGGAAAGTTAAAGACATAAGTCTACACATGTAGAGCACATTCAAATTTCAAATAAGGGACAAAATCAATATTGCCAGAAATGTTAGCACAAAACAAGTTAAGGTTTGCAAGTGTAAAACCACTTCATTTGCAACACCCGTAACATCGTAAATCTACAACAACAACAATGGTGATAACCTAATTATTAATTGATCTCACAACAACCAAATTATTCTTCCAACCTTTACTTGTAAATTTGTAATCTTTTTCTAACTAACATTAAGCATAAATTGTGATTTTAAGCAAAATAGGTCATTCTGCTGACTTGGTAAATAAAGTAATTGAATTAGTGATTCAAAGAAAGCTTATGCAAGGTAAAAATAAAGAGATCAAGAACAAACCTGCGTATGAAAGGGCCACTTCTCATACATCACTTGAAGAAACAACTACACTCATCAATTTCTCTCGCAAATGACACGAATCGACGGCTGTTTCTTCAGTAACCTACAACAACAACAACAACAGCAACAACAACAACACAATACTGATCAAATTGATATAATACAAAAAAATGATTCCAAAGTTTATAACCTACAATAACAAAACTTATATATATACCTCACAATAAATCACATAAATCCACCTCTGATTAACTTTATTAGAAACACAACTAACAACATCAAGGCCTTCTTGAGCTAACACTTTGAGAGTTTTCGATATAGGACATGGATCATCCTCTTCAACCCCGGCTGTTATCTCAATCTGAAGTGTTTTAGAAAATTTATGAATGTTGACATTATAATCTCTAGTACTACAACTACTACTACTTCTTGAAGTAGTAGATGTTGTACTACTTGATGATGAACATCCAACATTGTTATTCTCTCTTTTATTATTTCGTCGATTTTCTAATGAAGAAAATGTGTCTTTAAGACTATCCCTTTTCTCTCCTAGCTCCTTTACATTCTTCTCCAAGTCTTTGATGTACCTTGTAGCCTCGGTTATGTGTTCCGATACCGATCTTTTTCCCTGAAAACCCCATCACTAGATAATCAACATACATCAACCTAAAACTTCCAAAACACATTTTTTCAAGCTTTAACAAATTTAATCTTGAACATAACAAAAAAAAAAAAAACATGAGCATGATTGATTGCCAAATGCTTAATAGTATTCAACTTCAACAACAAATGTATGAAAGTAAATTACTATATTGTCCTTAACCAAAAACCCCCAAAATTGTTATTTTTTTGTTACTATTCTAGGTAATTAAGACTTTTATTACATTTATTATTTTCAAAAAGAAAAAGAAAGATTTATAGAATTTACCTTAACATACTCTACCGGAAGGAGGGAGCGAAGGGAAGAATAAAGATTGGACATTTCTTGCCTTCGTTGTCGTTCGACTTCTCGATGAATAACCTTCTTGTTAGTAATATCATTTCCTTTGATCTCATCTTCATTATTAATCTTATTATCCTGGACAGACTTCCCGGATCGCAGTTTTCGTGTTTTTGGGCTCTTGAGTTTAGAATCAACACCATAATGAGGTTGATGAACGGGGTCAATATTCGTAGTAGTAGTACCAGCTGCAACTGCAGCATTAGTACTACTAATATGGTGCTCAAAAAGAAAATTAGTATTTGTATTAGTAGTAATATTATTGTTATTATTATTGTTTTCTAAATCATTGGAAATTTGAAAAGATAACTCACCACTTTGAAATGGAAACATGGAGGAGATCAAAAAAGTTTTATTTCAAGAAGATTTGGTTCGGTAAATAAGAAAAAAATAATTAAAAGAAGAAGATTTGGTAGTTAGGGTTAGGGGATTTGAGAGATCTTTTTGAATAAGTGGCAAATCCCAATTAACAAGCAAAAAGAAATTGTGATTAATTAATTGGGTTTGGATTAATTATTGATTATAAGATTAAGAAATGATGCAAATTGCAAAGAGAAAGAAGAATGGGCACCATAAAAATGCTGTAAAAGAAGGAAGAGAAAGAAGAGAAGAAGAAAGAAAAGAAGGTGTATTGTATATTTGTATATTGTACAGTTTTTAATAATATAACAAAAAAAAAAAATGTTCATCCATTTATATATCAAACTTTATGGACGGTGGACCAAGAGCTGTCTAAATAAGGGTATCATTTAAATGGGTAAAGGAAAGGGTTATCATTTAATTAATATAATTTGTAGTAATAATTGACTAATTATATTTTAAACACACTAGCAAGATCTGATTTGGTCACTAAAGAGATTTTCTTGTTGTTAATCATTTTTTTTATTTGGGTTTTGGTACTTCATTAAGTTTATGTCCTTACCTACTATATGTGTAATGTGTTAAAGATACTTCGACATTATTTTCAATAGAGAATAAATTTTCATAACTTTTTACACACAAAAAAATTCTCAAATTTAAATGCAAATGGACTTTGTCAAATGGGCATTTTATAATTTGTTTAAAATTGATTCAAAATATAAGGAGTACAAATCATTCTTACATAAAGGTACTAATGTACTGCACAAAAGTACATTTTAATCAACTACAAAACCGAGTCTTTATCCGTATAGTATTGAGGTAGTATTAATTGGAAATTCAAATTTTAATCGAAAAAAATGGGGTGAGTCGGACTCACAGTGAGTCCAATATCTCTAACATTAATAATCTATTATCTTATATTAATTTAGTTTCTCAAGCTCATGTCGAGTTACAAATCTGTACATGAAAAAATATGACTCCTCATTCACAAATTAAAATCGTTATTCTAAGAATTGAATAACTTAATAAGCTCATTCAACAGAACCATTAAAAATTAAAACTTTTATTTCATATATATATAAAGCAAAGGAGGGCATAACAAACCCAAAACAAGACACCATAAATTAACTAACAAAACGAGGTGAGGTCACTAACTAAGTCCTCTCAGATAAGATTTTTATTTCGATGGGAGAATAATCAAAATAAAACTAGCTAAGAAAAGAAGTGTTAAAGAGAGCACTTTGCCACATATATAATTTTTTTATCACAAATTCACAATGGCCAAAATGGGATCCAAATGATGAAATGCAAAGCAAACCCTATCTCAACCAAAGTGGAAAGTGAAGTGACCATCTTCAATTTCTCTGTGCTTTTATTCCGGCATATTTCCGTGGTAAATGGTCTGTCCTATGTAGAGTGTTTATATCAACCAAAAGTCAATAATTCACATCCCAATGTTTATGGAGAGTACACCATAAATTACTCAATAATAATACTACTCTTTTTTTAATTAAAATTAATTTTTAAAAAAGGAACAATCAATTTTTTTGGTTATTGCTTTCCATAATCCATTAATAAAATTGCATTGTCAAACCTCACGTGGTTGATATCCATCCAGAGCAGCAGCAATTGGTACAGGGACCACCCCCATTTAACTGTTTATCTCATTTTGTTCACCCATTTTGCAACAAATCACTGTTAGTAATTAAATGGCCCCAATGTTGAAGTAAATTAAATTATTTAGTCTCAATTAAATGGCCCCAATGTTGAAGTAAATTAAATTATTTAGTCTCTAAAGGCCTGTTCTGATTTAATGAATTGAACTGAACTAATTGAACCTGAACTGGACTGAATAGAGTTAAAATGAATTGTTTATGAGAGAAAAAATTAGGAGTTGAACTGAATTGATTGAAGCTGAACTAAATTGAACTTAACTTAAGCAGAAGAGTGCAAACCCTAAATATGGTGTAAATTATTAAGTCAAAGTTTTGTCAAATATGAAAATCAGATCAAATTAGAAAAATTCATATTAGGTTAAATCATATGAGCTAAACACAAGTCTCCTTATTTTAGTTTTAGTTTTTGTCAAAATAATAAATGCTGATTATACTCATTATATATATGCTAGAAAAGATACTTCAAATTAATTAGTACGAGTATATGAGATTTTGTTAGGCTAAATACAATTTTAATGTGTCAAATTTTCTTACTATACTCTAAAACGAGCAGTAAAACCATTTTAGATTCTCTTAGTCATTAGTAAAAATCAACTTTATCAAATTTAAAGCCATAATTTATATTCCTAATTCCTTTTTCTCTCAAACTTTTTGAAATGACTCAAAATTTAATGTGAATTGAATTCTCGAAAACAGTGTGAGTATACTTTCACAACATATACCCTACTTGTATAAATTATTTAATTTTAGTGAGGTCATTTTAAAATATGAAAGTGGTCTAACATAGAAAATAGGAATGGCAAGGGTAAAGATGCTCGAAAAAGAAAGATTGTGGGTATGATTAAATAAAAATTAAAACCCTTTCCATTTTTAAGATACTTTTATATTTTTCAACACAATAAATTCGTATTGAGACATAAGTTTTATACTTAAATGATTAAAAATAATTATACGGAGTATTATTTATAACTCGTAATTAAATTAAAGATATTTAATGATTAAATAAATTGAGATGAATTAAAGAATAAAGAATATGTGTAATCAAAGAATAGTACATATGTAACAAGTGATAAACAAGTGGGGGATGGCACATTTGACGACGAAGTACTTAATATGGTGGATGTTTTGAAGCCGCAGATAGTATAAACCTATCATCACCTTCAGAATAAGAGATGCGATGCATGTAGTTGATGTTAAACTACTCTTGTTACATCATTGTCTAGTGTTGCTTTCACTAGGACTTTCCCTTTTACTGCTGTATTAATTACAAACGTGCCTAATAGGCAAAATGACAAATTCCGTCTTGAATTGTAATTAGACAAGATTTTACACAATTCAATATTGAGATCCCATGAATAACTCACATATAAGCGAATATGTTGTGTTTTACAGGTGAAACCGAGAAAACTAGATGTTGATAGGTTAATAGCTTTATAGATTTATTCAACATGGTCCAAATTTCCTGTTTGTTAATTGTCGGAGTGTAATCTATACCTATTTAGTTGATCTCTTAAGACATTGTCTTGTGTAAAATGTTAGAACGAATTTATTCTAGACCCTAGCTATAACATAAATAAATTTAAACCATCATTCATGTATCTACTTGATTGATATTTGTTCACATTGAACAACTCCAATTTTTTCTTCCTTTTTTCTTCTGACTCTTAATCAGAGTTATGACTTATGAGCTTTTGACTTATTAAGTCCAATATTGTTAAAATCAATTTTTTTGAGAGTGGATTTAAAACTTTTAAACATAACAAGAAACTTTTTTTTATGTTTTTGTAATATGAGAGAGATCGAGTTTTTTTAGCCACATGCTAAAACAAAGTAGATTTTGTACTCCGTCCATATTTGAATTTTGATGTTAAGAACATTTGAAGTCCTGACATATCAAAATTGATTCAATTTGAACACATATGCTTATATTGTATGTTTAAAAAGATTGAAATTATTTATTTTCTTTTTCATATCCTTATCATACCCACAATTATGTCTACATCTATCTTCAGACAAATCAGATTTGAGCCTAAAAAAATGTCAATATAAAGATCACTTTGTACACCCTAATGTCCCGTTATGATTCACTCCAACATGGATCTCTTTTGTTTACCTACAAATTTAAAAGGAAAGCTAATTAGCGTTGTTAAACTTTATATACTTTACATGTTAGTCGTTCTTTTTCATAGCTCTACTTGTTTACCTATCGTACAATCATCGAGTAGTTGATTTTTTTCCGCCTTTTTTTTATGTAGAAGATGATACCTAAAATCCGTGATCAAATTTTATGCCAATCATTCTTCTTCGTTACTCCCAACTAATTAAAACAATATCAAAATTAAGTTAGTAGTATTATTGAAGATCGATTTGGTATCCACAACTCACAACTTCACAAAATGTGTACAATTAATAATTTAAAAGGCCATAAAAAAATGTTAGAAGACAGAGAAGAAGAATCTTATATTACAGAGAAACAAGAGAGTATGGTACATACTACGTAGTCAGGATTTCATTAAGAATTTGATCGAAATCATACTTTATTTGATTGAAGATCATACTTTATTTGATTGAAAATCTCTGCAGAAATATTTATGTAGAAACAATTGATCGAAGAAGATATGGTTGTCAGGATTTTCTTTGGTTTTGTGAACCAAAATTCTTTGAATTCTTCTCACATTGAAAACCAAAAATCACCTAATATGGTCAGGTTACATGAATATACGTTCTGATCTTAGTATTAAAATGGTCAGTATGTGTCTACTTGAAGGAAGAATCTATTTTAAACAATGTGCACACAAAAGGCAATAATATTTCTACCATAAGTTTATATTTATCAAATGCATATGTCGATTAATTAAAGTTTGTACAAAACTATGATATTATAAATCAATTTATATATTTGCAATTGTACAACGAGCTTTTCCAAACAATAATGTTGTACTTATGAGCTACGACAAACACTGCCCTCATGTCCTAACCAAAGGTTGTTAATACGGTAAAATGTTTTTCTTATATACGAAGTATAAATATTGAGGATGTGGTGTTATTTATTCAATATTATGATATCCAACAAATAATATATTAATTTTATTATCCATATATTATTTAAATATCTTCCTCTACCCATCAAAAATATATACCATACATTTAATATATATAAAAATAAAGTAAAACATATAGTAGTATGAGTGACTATGAAGTGAACAAAAAATTTGGAGATATATTCTAGAGTTTGATTGTTATTGGTGAATGTAAACACAGTGGGCTCTTCAAACTAATAATCCAGCCCATGAGCCCAAGAATATAATAGTTGGCCTCAAAAGTTTTGGAGATCCAAGGTCAAAAAAAATTAAGCCCTTGCAGTTCATTTACACTTGTGTAGCTGAAACACTGAAATATTAGACCGAAATACAATATTTAAAACACATTAACCAATTTTCATAGCCTTATAAACAAGGGTACAAGGTACAACTCTAATCTTCATTCATACTTCATATAGTAGTTCTCTTAATTTGCAGGACATGCATCCCAACCTGATTGTAACCTGTAATTTATTGACTTGAACATAACCCGACTTGACTCCGAGAAT